TGTTTCAAAGGCAGATGAAAAATATTAAAAATCGTTAGTCACAGTTTTTTTTTTATAAGCATTTAAAGTTCAAAAATTGACAAAATATGGAAAAATCACGAAAATTAGCGAATTATTTTGAGTTAAGAGTTCGTAAAAATTTTTCTTTTTAAATCTAAGATTTGAAAATGTCATACAAGATTACTCATAAGTTTGTCTACCTTTATCAATAAAAAAATCTCTACCGGAAAGTCAAATTAAATTTTTATGAGCGTTTGAAATTCAAATTTTTACAACATTGGATGTTCACTCGATTTCTCATGTAGCGATTTCCTTATTTTGTTGTTATTCATAAACGAATAACTATAGATACATGAAAATTTTACTGAATGTTTATATTAGCATTTCCTATACACCATACAATTTTGAAAATATTTTGACTCTTTTTGAGCGGTTTACGGATATATTCATTTTTCAATTTTTTTAGTTTTTTTTTTCTATAAATATCAATAAAGTTTTATCTGTTGGGCCAAAAAGTGTAAAAATTTAATACAAGGCTCCTGATATATTGTTACAATATCAGTTGAAAAATATTAAAAATACATAGGCACAATTTTTTTTTATAAGCATTTAAACATCGAATTTTGACAGAATTTTTCAAAATCTCGAAAATTATTAATCATTGTAATTAATAAATTATAAAATGTTCAGTTTTTATAGCTAAGAATTGAAAATTTAAAACAAGATTCCACGTAAGAAGTTAATTCTCTTTCCGAAAAATCTAAAAAATATACAATCACAGTTTATTTTTATAGTCATTTTATGTTCAATTTTGGACGAAATTACATATTAAAAAACCTAGTTATTTTGTTGTGATTATATAATATTATTCGTGGGTACCTACTTGAAACTTCTAATTTCTATGATAGTATCAGGGTTTGTTATTGATGTTGATGTATAACGTGTTATAAGTACGTTATAAGTACCTAATGGATATTGTGATAATGTGATATGATTAATTTGGAATTTATTATAGGTCAATTTTTTTTTTAATACCATAGATATGTATATATAATTTGTCTTAAACCTAGACTGACATACCGTTTTCGCTCAGAATCGTTTTTCTTATACAATGATATTGTATCATTGAATTCAAATTTAATAGCATCCATTATACAGTGACCCACTTGTAACCTACTGTACAGCAGAGCGACATCCACTTATTTTTATTTACAAATAATAATTGTATTTGTTTCTTTTTAAAATAAAACTACGTAACATTTATCATAAAAACAAAAGAAAAATTAGAACTTTATTTACTACTTGCTGATCCCGTGCACTTCGTTTCCCGTTAAATGTACCAACTCGAACTTTGTTCAATTCGTTATTTAAAATTCGGTGTATGGTGTTCAAAATTTATCTTAACTCTTCTGTTGCCAGGGATAAAAATTCTGATTCGCAGCAGTATATTATCAGGTAGGCAATCTACCTGCAGTGGTAGATCGCGAACCCCGTGCTGTTTGTACGTAACTTTATAATTTAACTCTTAAGTATCAAAGTTATAATATAATATAATTATTTTATTTCGGTTTGTTTTATTTTAATCACGTTAACGGCGATGACCGGTAATGACTAATGTTACGTAAGGTCACGACGACGACGATCGGTCAAAGGCCGAAGGCACACGCCACTTAGGCGCGCTGCAGTGCGACATATCTCTGCAACGTCATTATAATATTATGTGATAACGTCGAAATAGGTATCTGTGAAAACAATTAACACACAATATGGTAAATATAATATAATATAAATTATAATAATACGTGCGGAAAATGAAAAAAGGGGATAAATTGATCGTGGATTGATCTATTTGAGACCGCCCGGTAAACCATAGGCGATAGGTCCCTCCCTATATAGAGCAAACTGTTGTCTGCCCATTTTTCAGGAAAGCTCCAGTGAAAGCGTGATAATGGTATTGGTGCCGTGATGAGTACCTACTGACCACCATGCTGGGAATGGAGAGTGTTGAGTGTGGGCGTCGCCGTCGTTCGGGTGTTTTGAACTGACCATACAAGTTTCGTCACTGTTGGACTACACCGTCACCAAAGCAGCGAAACTGCGATTCAGGTGTTCACTGTCGACATCAGGTATCTCGTCATCGCAGAGCAAGTTTGATCGGCGGAGATAGATAGAGTAATGTTAAGTGTTTATCTGTACACGTCGACGTGTGTGCATGTATTATGTCTCATCCCATTTTATCTGGTTCACTAACATAACCAGTAGACATTTTTTTTATCGGTCAACCGCCAAGCCGCTGACTATAGGTACCTCTATATAATTATTATTCTATTTTTGGGTGCTTATCATTCTACTGCAGCTGTGCGATCGTTCCCCATATTATTATGTTAGTAAATTCTGATAGTTCAACGTACTACATATATCATCATTATTATCGTATTGCATATTTATTTAGTTTATTTCTGATCATGTTCATAAAGTCCATCAGTCGAGATTTCGATTTTTTGCGCCTGGTATGACGACGATTTTTCCGTCCGCCGTATAGATCCACGCGCTTGCAATTCAGTTTTAGGTCATAGGCGGAAATTGGGGGCTTAGCCTCCTCAAAACGTACAAACAGAAAAATTAGCCACCCCAAAAATAATATAAGTAAAATATTATTTTTCAATTCAAGTATTGTTGCAACGGGAATAAAAAAAAATTTTTGGAAAAAATATCTGGTGTGTTCGTAGTATTTCTGATTCCATTACCAAAGTCCATAGCATAATAAAATGTAAAGTAGGTATATCACAGCCAGTTTAATCTGGTGTTATGGTTCCACCACAGAATATTATTATAATGTATATTATGTAATTGTCAATTTAAAGAAAAGGTTTTCAAATTTCAACTCATAAGTCTTCAAATGGCTGAAGCTGTAGACAATTTCATCAAATTAGATTTTAAAAAGAGTGAATTGTTTATTAATCATTATAAGGTAATTTTAGTATAAAAACTTGCTATTAAAATTGAATATTACTGAATTAATAGATAATAAGACCTGTGGGTTCAAAATAGAATTTTTATCATTTATTTATTTTATATAATATTGTAAGTTTTTCTTATTATGCTATTACTATAAGAAAGATAATTGTTAATTGTCTAGGAGCTATTGGATGTAAAAAGTGTAAGTGTTCAATATGGTTCAATTAGAAATATGTGTTGTGAAAAACTATATAGGTACATTTTTCAACTGGCAAAAGCAGGATCAGTTTAGAAGATTTGACTTCAGTACTTTCTAAATATATATATCCAAACATATATTATAATCTTATGCAAGTTTTACTCACTTTCCCCATAAGTTCATCAACATGTGAACATAGTTTTTAAGCCATGAGAAGAATAAAACCATGGTTGAGGTCATCTATATTGCAAAATAGATTCAACAATTTAGCTATCATTAGTATAAAAAATGGTATTTCCAAAACAATTGACAGAGAAATCATACTGGATCCATTTGCAAAAATAAAAGATATATTATTTTAAAATAAATATTTAAAATAATAACTAGATTAAATAACTAAATTAATATTTAATAATTTTGTTTTCCTTTAAAATTTGTTTAACTTATATTATCTTTCTGATATATATAAAGTTAAAATTCAAGTATATGTACGAGTAAATGTATACAATTTTTATTTAAACATATTTAAAAAAAATCATTTTTGGTTTTGCATGTGGTGTTTACGGTAATATTATATTTTCTAGTGCTGAGAGCTGCTTTGATATGCAATAAAGTATTTTTAAATATTAGCCCCCTCTAAAATTATGGCAAATTTCCGCCTATGTTTTAGGTACTAGAAAACAAACTTCAAATTGTAGGGTAAAGTGTTTGATTATCGTCTCCATAATCGCTTTAACGGTTATAAATATTAATTATACAATTTATACTTGACCTACATTAATTTTGGCTTCTGGTACTTTGACGAGAGCGACAACTCTCGCATGTCGCGACGCCAATGGGACTCATGGGAGCCGCGAAGCATTGTTTGAATAATTCATTATTTATTATAACTTACAACAGATACTTACTGACCATTCAGGCTGGATAATTTATTAGCTGATGGAACAGTCAAAAATACCAACCGCCGCACTAACGCTAATTATTATCAAAAGGCAAAAAGTAATAACATAAAAAAAAAATAAAATCTTTATTATTTGATAGTACTGAGTAGGTACTGACTAGTGACTTTAGCATACTTCAATATTTGTCTATGGATGAATATAGTCTATAAAATGGGGTAGTTTTAATTTTTAAACCAAGCTATAAAAAAGGTTAGGTTAGTTTAGCGAATTTCTTGCACGATTATAATTTAATATTTACGAGTAGCAAAAAGCTACTAGTATATTTATAATCGTTATTACTTGATTATTATTATAGCACGGACTAAAGACAGGCAGTACTGGCACGGTTTAAAATTATCCCACATAATTATCCCGCACCATGTATCACCGGATTGCAACTATTCTGTGGTTTGGTAGTTGGTATCACGATTTAAGGTGTAACCTAGGTATATCTGAAATATTGGTTGGTATATGGTTGGTACAATGGTAACTAAAAAAAAAGAACAAGGATGTCAGATTATCTACCTAAATATCAGTTAGTTCATGGCACTTCATGCTAAATATAGTATTATAGCAAATAGTACTCTATTGTTAATGTTATTGAATATATTTTATATACTTTGCTATGTATCAAGAAAAGTTTGTGTAATGTATTTTCGATTTTTGCGTCGTCTCTCGTTTGTTAGTGACGACTGACGACTGAGAAATACTGAGTACTGACGAAACTAATAGATATAGGTAGTGATTCATAATATTATGTAGATTGTCGGTTCTTTCTATGAGCTAGTCGTTCACGATATAACAAGATTTCATGTTTAGGCGTACCACCGAATCCCATTTGCAGTTAATAATAACATCGATATTATATACCTAATATAATAATATTATTATTGACCATCAATATGTCCAAATCTAAGGAGGACGAAGTCAAAATCCCGAATGTGATTATTGACACTAAGAACAACAAGAAGTATAAGAAATGCAGCTTTCTAGGAAAGGTAACGACGACGACAAATGACCAATGTTGTATTTAACATAGGTACTTTGCTTTGTATTTTTCTTTTATTTAAAATTCTAAACTGTGTATTTTTTACAATATTTTGCACATCAATTTGTTGTGTTCTGTTCCACTCCGGATTTTTATAGAGATATTTTTAAAATGACCTTAATATTTCCTCATTGGTTTTTAAAAAGTTTGATCGGACCTGCCGCCGTGCATGACTTGCGAAACAAATAAATAAACAAATGTGTAGTTTCATTTTTCGTTACAATTTTTTTTCCACCCACACATCAAGAAAGAAGTTTTTCTTCAACAAGAACAGGGTTCCTTTTTTTAAAAAGGGGTTATTTTCTTTTAATTATTAGGAGTATATTTTTTATGAGAATTTTGATGTATCTGAATAAAAATTCAAGCGAGTAGTTATTGGGTACTAAGGATAATATGTCCATGGTATTAGGTTAAGTAGATATGAGCGCTTAGACGATTTGAAAATATTAGTAATTACTATTATCTCGACTATTATTCTATCAACATAAATAATTTTTAGAAATTATCCAAGTAATAACTACTACCTACATATAATATTACATACCTAATATAGTTTATATTTTTATTAAACCATTTTTGAGTACTTTTAACTATAATATAAATGTAGAGGCCTCCCAGCGGAGGTACTACGACGCTTTTCTAATTAATTGCTGTAATATTAAAAATGTTACACTACATGTGAAGGTGTGACAATCAGCTTTAATAAAATTCCAAAGTTTATTTATAGTGTGAATGCCATGATGTAAATTAATGAAAGTTGTCGTCTATTAAAGTATTGAAGTATATCTGGCATCTCTTAGGTCCATTTAATAAAACTGTTAATTTAAAATAAAAAATGTATTAAATAAAAGATTACTAATATAATTCTTTTAATTTAAGATAAATTATAAAATCTACATTATGTTATGGGTACATTTTTTAATAAATTGATGTTATATTGTGTAATATTGAAATTATGAAACATACATTCTGTTTCATATTTCCATTTATAACAAGTTTTTTGTTAACTGTTACAGGGTGGTTTTGCAAAATGCTATGAAATTATTGATATGAAAACCAAGGAGGTATTTGCAGGAAAAATTGTGTCAAAACAATATCTTTTGAAACATAATCAAAAAGATAAAATGACTCAAGAAATATTTATTCACAAGGTGTTGAATAACAAAAATATTGTTTCTTTTCATAGTTTTTTTGAGGATAAGGATTTTGTTTATATTGTCTTGGAGCTTTGTCGAAAAAGATCTATGATGGAGCTTCACAGGTGAGTAAATTGTACTCAAGTACACACTGTTTATTTTTTTTTCTAATAAAAATGTTTGTACATTGTACTAGTAATCATTATAATTCAACTGTTTGAATTGACCACAAAAGTTTAATGATTATTTAAATTTAAAATATGTATGATAAAAATGAATTTTCAATTCCTGTTATAGTAACATTTTAATTTATAACATTTATAGGAGGAGGAAAACACTTACTGAACCTGAAACTCGTTACTACGTGCATCAAATTCTCCAAGGTACATTATATTTACATCAACAAAACATTATCCATCGGGATCTGAAGTTAGGAAATTTATTCTTAAATGATGAAATGGAAGTTAAAATTGGGGATTTGGGCTTAGCTGCAAAAATTGAATTTGTTGGACAGCGTAAAAAGTAATTATAGCCATTTTTATTTTAAATAAATCAATATTTTGTAATAAGCAATTTGTAAGGTATTTAAAAAAATTAATGAAAGTACCTAATTATTTTTAGAACATTATGTGGTACTCCAAACTATATTGCTCCAGAGATTCTCAGTAAAACAGGTCATAGTTTTGAAGTGGATGTATGGTCTATTGGTTGTATTATGTATGTAATCAAAAATATTATTAGTTATGTTTTTCAATATTATCAATGTTTTAAATTTAAGGTATACACTGTTAGTTGGAAAACCACCATTTGAAACAAACTCTTTGAAAGAAACATATGCACGAATAACACGATGTGATTATAATATACCTTCTCATTTAAATAAGAATGCTAGAACACTTATTGAAAAAATGCTTCAATTTGACCCTAAAAAACGTCCTCTAATTTCTGAAATATTGAAAGCTGACTTCTTCACTACTGGTTACATGCCTAAAAAGTTGCCGCCCTCTTGCCTAACTACTGCACCTCGTTTTGATTCTATCAACTATAGAGAATCAATTTCTAATCGTAGACCACTAATTGGTAATTTATTTGGATATCCTTTGAAAGTCTTATTTTTTTTTTCAATATTTATTTCTTAAATTTTAGAACTCAACAGTCCAAAACCTGCTGTTAATAAATCTGCTTTAAAATCTCAAGACCCAGGTTTAAAAAGTCCAATGTTTACTGTGCCAAGCAGACCTTCCGTTGGAAATGGTGTATCTACAATTGATTGTAAAGAACATATGATTTCTCTTGAAAAAGAATTGGAAAATTTATTAAATCAAAAACCATCTAAAACTAGAATGAGCAATATGGGTATGCTTTTTTAGATCATATTGCTTATGCATTAGTATTTTTAACATAGTTTATGATGATTAATTTTAGAAGAAACCACTGATCCAGTTGCTCAACCTCTCATTTGTGTTAGTAAATGGGTTGACTATTCTGATAAATATGGATTTGGTTATGAATTATCCGATGATAGTGTAGGTGTCATGTTTAATGATTTTACCCGAATTGTACTATTGGCTAACTTAAAGTAAGATGATTTTTCAATTTTATATCATTAAAATGTATTTATAAATCTTAAATATTTTACTTTAGGGATGTCCACTATATTGAAAAAAATGGCTTTGAACAATACTATACTATTGACCAAACGCCACCAAAACTGGAAAAGAAAATTAAGTTGTTGATGTACTTCAGGCGATACATGGATGATCATCTTAATAAAGCTGGAGAGGATTTATTAGCTAAAGATGCAGATCAATTGAGTCGTACTCCATATCTGTACCAGTGGTTTAGATCTACTTCGTCAGTTATTATGCAACTCACAAATGGGACTCTACAAGTACTAATGACAATAATGCATACATCACATACTGTATAAAAAATTAATATTGTAATTTTGATTAGATAAACTTCACAGATCATACAAAAGTCATATTGTGTCCACTAATGAAAGCTGTGACCTTTGTTGAAGAAAATATTTTTCGTACATATCGTTTCAATACAATTGCGGAAAATGGCTGTAGTCCTGAATTTGAAAAATGCTTACATTATGCTCACAAGAAAATTGGCTTTATATTGAAAAATAACAAATAATAATTTACTTTTGGAATACTAATTTATGTTTAAAATTTCAAAGTTAAATTCAAGAGGCATTAGGTTATAAATAATTTTTGTTATAAAGATGTATTATACTTTAGCTTATTATTTTTATTATTAAATACAATTTATTTAATTCATATATTTGTTTAAAAATAATTTTGATAAATTTAAAAAAAAATAATGATTGTTAAAAGATACAAAAAAATTGTACCTATTTAAAATATAATAGGTAGTATCACAACACAGAATCAAAGGTATATTTTAGAATTAATTGTAATAAATCAATTCTTACATGGGGTATTAATATCTATTCAGTGGTGCGTTTTTAAACTCAACTATAGTTAACTTAAGTAACCAAATGTCGTTTAGCGTTCAATAACTCCGAGTTGTTGACTCCGGTTAACCTCGATGAAACTAAATAAATAGATAGGTAATAATAGACTGGTAATAATGAACATAACAAAACCAAAAGTATTACACATTTATGTTACACACTTATAAGCTCATGATCAATGTAGTTAGTGATGGTTTATCAGGTTTAACTGTAATTTTCCGGGGAAACAAAATTAGGTTTAGCACAATTTGAAGAAAAGTGAGAAGAGGGGTTCCTTGGGAATTCTAAGACAATACAATATTTTAAATTAAAACTTATGATTTTATACATTCTCTAATTACAATGATTTATAAATATTTAAAACCTTATAAAAAATCTATATATTTATGGACGGACTGGGCCAGCGGGATAGCGGGAACTTTCCCGGTGGGCTGCTACTCAAAAATAATTTGTCATTATTAGATATTTATAATAAAATCAGTTGGTATAAATTTAAATTATAAATATTTTGTATTTTCATATCATAACTCGTGACTGAAAATTTTTTTGTATATTATTAGGTGCTTAAGAAGTTTAATACGTTCAATCTAACATTCTTAATTCATAGACTTTCACTTGGTTTTTATTTTTTTAATGTTTGGTGATTTTGTAATATTTACTTTACTATTGGTTGTTTAAAATGGAAACTAAAAGAATGGGTGATGCCGAGAAAATCAGAGAGGGAGAAAGGAAAATCTTAGAAAAATCAAGTTAGAGGAGTTGGATCAACCTATGTTTTTAATCCATTGTTATTTTTTATATATTGTTTTTGACTCAGTTATAGAGTATTTAATAGAAAATAAGTAATAGGTATATTATACTCTGTACTTAAGATAAACTACTGAATACATTGAGAATCTTAAATTGTCTCTTGAGAAAATTGAAGAAGAGTAGAGGAAGCAACCCTCATTTGTTAAAACTTTGGTACCATATTTAAGTTTTTAAATTTTGTGGTGACAAAATTACTAGGGGCTGGTCAAAATATTGATTTCCTGAGCCGAATAGTTGGCCCAGTCCGCTTGCTATATAATGTGAACCCCAAATAAATAATTTATCTATTGATATTTTGTTGTAAAATAATACTACTTTAAAATTATTTTTTATAATTTTTTGAGGTAAGGAAATCATAAATAATTAGGATTGACTATTTTGTTGTCTATTATTATACTGGTATAACGCTAGCTTGGTTTTAAAATCTTATAATTGTGTTTAAAAATTATTATAATTAGTCAGTAGTATACTATGTTTTGTGGCGAGGCAAACTTTAAATTAAGGTCAGTCTATCTCTAATACTTCATATCTTCACCCATCAACCCAAACCAGTAGAAATTTTCTATCATATTTTTAGCTACCTGTCGTGATAAACACCAAAATACTAATTAATACCCGACCAGCCACCAAGCAAACCACAATCTACTCAGACAGTAGCCACTAGATTATCCCTTCGACATGCCACTGACTATGACATGTCTGAAATGTATATAATATTAATATTATTAATTTAAGTAATATTTAAATATTTTCTGATGTTTGTTTATAATATCGAATGCCCAGTGGCGTACCCAGGATTTTAGAACTGTGGGTCTGCCTTACTTACGAGAGGCCACTGTGTAGAAACTTCAACCAACTAGGTATTACAGAGTCGCACAATGCGCTCATGATTTACCTTATTAGTTATTTACATCACATTTTGATACCAACATTCAATATTACTAAATTACATGAGTCATAACAAATTTTTAGGTAAAATGTAAAATTTACTTACAAGCTATAGTATTAAAGCTATATTTAATTAATTGTTATTTTTATTTCTCGTATTAAAATTTATATTCAATTAAAAAATTCACCTGAAACATTTAAATCATTTTAAGAAGGGATTATACATATTTATTATTTTATTTTTATACGTATATTTGCAGTATATTTATTTTATTTTAGTTTTCAATGACTGATTTCATTTTAACAAGAGATATAGAAAGTGGTTCTAAATTCTAATACAATACAAAAGTCAAAAATAATACATTTATAAAATTTATATTTTATAATACCTACATGAAAATATATATAAAGAACTAGAACATTACAATAATTTTCTGCTCTTTTTCATTAGTGCAAATGAACTTATTACGTTATCAAAATCAATGGTTTGAACTATGTTGCTTTCTATGATTAATACGACCAAATTTGATAGCTGGTCTTCAGTCATAGTTGAGCCAAGGCATGTTTTGAGCAAGCCCGGATTAAGGATGAATTAGGCCCGGGACACCATACACTTTGTGGGCCCCCTTTCAACTTTAACTTCAAAATAATTGTATTATTACATATTAACGACTTTATATTATTATATAATTATTTACTACACAAAAAATATACAGAATGTATCTTATATTCTTAAGTCATTGTAAGCGGGGTTTTTTTTAAAAATTATGGATCGATGGTATGGAATTTTGTTAAAACAAAAAAATATGTGTTTCTTTATTTTGAACTAGCAATTTTTCTTATAATATTTTCAAAGTGTATTAAAGTGTATTTACACGTAGTTGTGCCAATAATAAAATCGACTTTATTTTTTCAAATGGTAACCACTATATTTTTTGATGGATTCTGGTAAAGATTTTTTTTAACATTTTGACAGTCAAATGATTAATTTTGGTTCGCTAGGTCCTAGGTTATTAATCATGGACCTCTGAATTTTAGTATAATATGCATTAATACTTTTAACTGGAATACCTAATTTACAAGAGCTAAATAACTTTTTCTTATAACTATACCTTCTTAAATACTTAAGTCTTAAATAGTTATATCGGTAATCTAAAATGCTCAAAAAAATTTTTTTTAAACTATTGGACACGTTAAAGCAATATATTTTGAGGATATAGATGGGCCCCCAAAATCAATGTGCCCCCCTTAATCCGGGCTTGGTTTTGGGAAGTTTTAGACGGCTAAAACTTCTTTCTGCAGTTTCTGCAAATATAGAATAGTATACAGTGAGTTTCCTTTTAAAGGTAACACTAAATAATTCTGTCCAGTGACATCGGATTAATATGCGGTTTTCAGGAGGGGATAGGGAATACATAAATACACATTTCTTAATGATTTTTACATTTTTAGATCTTTCCGTGTGCGCATGCGCAATACAACTTGCATTTTTTTAAATGGCAGTAGGTGTTTTAAATACCAAATTCGGATAGACCGAATTTTTTTAAGTCGATTTGGCCCTTTTTACCATAGCTCTAAAATCAAAATTGACTAAATAGCAACCAGTCAAAGTTTCGATTAAAATTATTGAATTTTTCACCAATCATACTAGAATTTTATGAATTATTATGAAATTGTATTTATTATTTTTGTATCCGTAGGTTTACAGATATTATTAAATCATTTAAATTTAATTTTGAGGAATTAATTAACCTCACAACGTAAATCTATCCAAATAAATAATAGAAATGATTGAAATTGTAAAAAAAATGTGTTAATTAGTTTAATCTTTTCTTACTTAGTAATTGAACTAACATTTACGTCTAATTGAGGTTAATTAATTCCTCAAAATTAAATTTAAATGATTTAATAATATCTGCAAACCTACGGATACAAAAATAATAAATAAAATTTCATAATAATTCATACAATTCTAGTATGATTGGTGAAAAATTCAATAATTTTAATTGAAACTTTGACTGGTTGCCATTCAGTCAATTTTGATTTTAGAGCTATGGTAAAAAGGACCAAATCGACTTAAAAAAATTCGGTCTATCCGAATTTGGTATTTAAAACAATTATTGCCATTTAAAAAAATGCAAGTTGTATTGCGCATGCGCACACGGAAAGATCTAAAAATGTAAAAATCATTAAGAAATGTGTATTTATGTATTCCCTATCCCCTCCTGAAAACCGCATATTAATCCGATGTCACTGTACAGAATTATTTAGTGTTACCTTTAAAAGGAAACACACTGTATATACTTTTATATACTTTGTACTCTATATATTTATACTACTTTGTTATAAGAAATAACTTAAAAACAGCTTTTGGAAAGAATGTTTATGTTCAAAATTTGTAACAATACATGAACCTTGCTCATTTACCTATATCAATTAGAAGATGAACAAAATTCATATTTTTAAGAATTATCCAAATGTAATTCTTTTTTAAATAGTATTATTTATCATGTCATTGTACGCACATGGTGATATTGAAAAATTCATTGTTGAACGATTGTTTATACTACTTGAAAAGTACAAGGTATGTGTTCAAAACGACTATATAAGCTACTAACTACTGTCTACTATTTATTTTATGGATGTTATTAATACGATATGACTTATGTTATATAATTTATATTGGAAATTTATAATACTTTTACAAAGGATAAACTGTTTTTTTTTTTATTAAATAAAATTATGTAAGATTTAATTATTGCATACGGAAAAAAGAAACTGTTTAAAAATTATACCTCACTCAACATTTAATTTAAAGATTTACGAAACAATAATTTAAAAGAATGACTAAATAGACGTGTACATTTTTTTTAAGAACGTGAATAAAATAGTATATTCCTTTAAAAAAAAAAAAAATGAATGTAAACGTCGAACAAATTAAATTTTCAAATTAACGTACCGAATACTGTTTAATGTTTATAAGTTGTGGTAAATAATTTTACACTAAAACTTTGAGTAACAAGAGAAACATCTCAAACGAACTTTGGTAAAAACTACAATATAAAATATGCTTAAGCTTTTTGAAGCCAATAAATATCAATTTATACTGTAAAATACACATTATATACCTATATTTGTAATATAGATCTCCATATATTTATAATTAAAATTCATAGAAAACATTTAATTCTGAATAATAATTGAATATTTATTAACAATAGATAATTTTCCTATACAATTGATACTTAAAGAAAACAGTATGCAAAATGTTTCCTTCACAATAGAATTCTAAGCTGTTCGTCTTTTGGTACTTTATTAAGCAATAGGCGACCATCGTAACTTAAAGAAGCTAATATCCACGAGTTTGCAGAGGACCATTCAACGCAATACACAGAATCTTCGTGTTGATCACACGTCGCTACTATTTTATCTTCAATGGAAGGTTTTGTTTTTATGTCTTCGATTTCAACGGCTGATGATGAAATTCCAGCTAAACATGTGATAAGGACTTGACCGTCACTTGAAGCTGTTCCAATTAATTCGTCGTGTACTGGGTTATATCTATAACAATGAATAATAAAACAAAATATTATGGTGGTTGTTTAAGTTAAACATAAAAATAAAGCAGACTGTTCATTTAGTTTTAAAAATAATAATTCTAGATAAAAAATCTAAACTATTTTAGTTGCATTTAGGATTTCAAATTAAAGTTTTACTTGAAATACCATATTTTTTACATTCACTAATAAATCAATAACCTCAAATGTCTCAACATTCTGTGGAAAACACTAATTTTAGATTCTGAGTGGAGCGATAAATTTATTGATTTTACAATGATGTGTTTATTTATTTTTTATATTTGTAGACACAAACATATTGAGTCTATGTACACAATAAGTAGTTGAAATAATGTTTCGATTTTCCATTTCAATATCTTGTTTGACGGGAAAGTGAATCTATAGTTGGTGCATTGGGGAGGTTAAAATTCCATGTAATTTTCAAAAGCGCAGGGAAAAACAAAACAAAAAAATTAAGGACGAATGGGAATTTTTAACCAAAATCGATTTTGGTTTTTGGTGTAACTATAAAACAAATGACCGTAGTAACATGAAAATTTCACAGGTTGTTTATATCAGAATTTTCTATACACGATAAAATTAAAAATATTTTGATGTGTTTTTGAACTGTATACGGATATTTAAAGTTTCCAATTTTTTTAGTTTTTTTTCATTGAATGTCAATAAAATTTAAAATGTTGGGTTAAAAAGGTTGAAAATGTAATACAAGTTATAAGTTATAAGTTTGTCTACCTTTAACAACAAAAAAATCTATACCGGAAAAACAAATTAAATTTTTATGAGCTTTTGAAGTTCATATTCTTACAAAATTCGATATTCACTTGATTTCTCATGCAGCGGTTTTGTTATTTTGTTATAAATCAAAAACAAATAACTGTAGAAACATGAAAATTTTACTGAGTGTTTAAATTCTCATTTTCTATACACTATAAAAATTTAAAAATATTTTGACTTGTTTTGAGCTGATTACGGACAGTTTCAAATTTCCATTTATATTTATAAATATCAATTAAATTTTATTTGTTGAGCCAAAAAGCGTGAAAATGTAATAAAAAATTTAAAACAAAGTTCTACATAAATAGGGTATATTATATAAATTATTTTGTTCACAATAATATTATCAAATATACTTAGTAATATCATAGTCTGTCTTCCCTCAGAATGTTTTTCTTATACAATGATATTATATTATGGAATTCAAATTTAACACCATACATTAACCACTGATTCAATTGTAACCTACTGTACGGCAGAGTGACACCCACTAGCACGCCTTTTTACTATTTATTTTATATGAAATTAACTAGGTTAGGTTTTATAAGACCTAAAATATATAGTTTAAATATGCATAATAAATAAATTATAATTATAAAATATATTTAGTATTTCATAAAATTAAAATATTCTAATATAGAGAAAAAAAGAAATGGTTACTTTTTAACGGCCTTTTTATGATAAAATATGAAATATTATCTAATTACAAAGCAGTGTAAAAAATAGTATACATTTCAAGAAAAATTTGTTTTCAGTAAATATAGTAATTAATTTAGTGTATTTCATTATAATGTGATTGTGTTTTATTACCTAAGAGACCAAATCCAATGAGAATGATCAGCACGGGATATTAGAGGTTGTCTGGGATTACGTATATCCCAAAACTTAGAATATCCATCATCACCGCATGTCGCCATATAGTATTGACGATTTGGATTAAAATCAAAATCTCTGAAATTATTTCAATATTATTATTGTAAGAATAAACTACTTTCGAACATTTAAGATCACAAAAAAACTGAATATTTATGTACAGTATTTTTTTTACTATTACTAAAAATAATCTTTACTTTGTATAATATTAAGCTATTAAAAAGGACAAACATACAGTTGTACATAATATGGTAAAGAAAATTTTTTAGTTTTTTTAATTCTCACTAAAATTGTATTATTTGAAATATCATAATTCTCAAGTTAGTTCATCAAACATTCATTATACCTAATAACTTGAGTATGAACTCCATCTAGACTCCATGCAATTTTTGTTTGGGTTCTTAAATCCCAAGCTTTTATATTACAATCATCAGCAGTTACAAACTGTAAGTTGACATTTTGTGGATTCCATTTTCCAGTTGTAAATCTTGGCTGACCTATCAAATAAAATACAATTAGTGAATTAATTTATTAAAAAATCACCAATAAATAAATATATCTTCAAAAGTGGGAAAAAAGTGGCAATTGTAAGTCTTGATGTATTCAGTATATAACCAGGTAAAATTATTTTTACTTTAAATACAAATTTCAACTTTGATTTTAACAATATTTTTGCCTTCAAGTAAAATACAAAATATCATACCTTTACCATCCAATACTGCAGTACATACAATTTTTACTTCACTTTCACCCACATCCCACATCACTATATTATTATCGATAACAGAACACATGTATGCGTCATTTGTAGGATGAAACGTGGTCACCTAAATTAAATGAAATTTAAAATTCTAAAATCAAAAAATTAAACTATAATAAATACCTTAACATCAGTCCCATACTTTTCTGAAGGAAAAGTGATGACATTTTCTAAATGACCATCATCCTCTGGCAGTCGCCATAAAGCTGTACATTTCTCACAATCACGTTCTATACTAGCATAACAAGTAGATATCAAGTGTTTGTCTGTTGGAGAAGACGCTAATGACCATATTTCACCACAGCTATGCTCATATATCTAAAATATAATTATTATACATAGCAATAACTTAAATCATGAGTCTAACTAGATAAAATAATTACTATGCTTAAGACAAATTGGGAATAGGTAATGAAAAAATAAAGTTATTGTTTGGCAATTAAAGGTAAATATTATGAATTTGTTCTAAATTTATTTAATTTCTAACTACACACAAAGTAACACAACTTATGCACAATTATTATTGATTTATAATAGTTTGTTCAACCACTCTCACGCACAGTTTTTATTGATCAATTTGATATTTGTTTACACTATTTAAATGTAAAAAAATGGTGACAATATCTTATAAATACATACTTGAGGACAAAGTGTATTGGTATCTTCTTGTAGTTTAACGAGATGTACTTGATTATTCGATGTGACCAACGACTGAGTTCCGATTAAAAAACAGTCTTGATCATTATCAGCCAGCAGAGAACATAACGATCTGGCCTAAAATGTAAATAGACTTGATAAAAAATTACTAATATCCTAGCAAGGTATAACCATGTCTTTATTATTATCTATGTACCTGAAATTCAACTCCATAGATTAGAGGATTGTTGGACATGATGTTATTCGATTTCAAATCTTTTAAGTTAAAAAAAATGCAGGTATTTTGTTACTTTACCGATAAAGTAAGAGTTCCAAAATGCCAAATGTATCTACGTGAACATCTCACAATCTAGAAAAGTAGTAAGTACTAGGTAGGATTTGAATATTGAGTATTACATCGAATTTGAACTATTAGTACTATTTGATATTTCTATTTTCTACCGAGTACCGGTATTCTTTAAACTATGATTTATACTTTTTACTTTTTAGTAATATTATTAACAGGTATTTTGCACATAGACATATTAATATGTCTATGATTTTGCATAATATTTATTATTTACTCTATGTTAATTTTTTATCTGATATTATGTTATCTGTGTAGAGAATTCGACTGATAAGAAACAATATATTATCACAGATTACAAAAAACAATTTGTTGTGCTTGTGTACAGAATTATAGTTGCGACTTACAGTGGTTCCGTCCATAATAATAATATATAAGTCTATCTAAGTAAATATTAGTCCGTGCTCTTTTCAAAACTTTACTGTCATATAGGTATAATATTCTACTACAGTGATTAGTGACTGGTCAGGGTCTTTCTTTTCGTTTCGCTTCGCCTTCCGTAAAGGACTTCTGGGTTAGACGTAAAAATAGCAACCGAGATTTGAAAAATGGCGACGGCGTCGGTGTCCGTAGAATTTCAAAACCTCACATTGTCAGAGTGCTTTGACCAAGGTCTGTCGTCTTACGAGAGTATTTGCGAGTCTACAGAGCCGGCCAAGGAATCGGGAACTCAGGTTTGTGTGATCGCATTACTGTTTTTCTGATGACTTTACTCTCTGTTTTCAGTACAGGATAATAAAATGCATGAAAATATTGGAGCACACTACACAACTCGTATCCGCAGCTGGCATGTTCAGCGACAATGAGACCATCGAAGAGATACCAACGGCTGACGTCAAATACATGTTACTGCCATTCATGTTGGGGTCTCTGGCACTGAAACTCACAAACAACGGCAACAGATTGGATGTCTCAAAAAGCTGAAGTATATTTCAGAGATTATCTCAGAGGTATGTATCGAAAGTGTATTTGATCATTTTGATGTTTTTGAGTTAAAACGCTTCAAAGGAATACATTAACTTTGGGGTGTTGTAGGTGTAAAGATTATGGATTGGCTGACCATACAATACCACCTGTGTATACAGACTCTGAAGAAATCACTACTCAGGCCACTATGGACTTTTCTCTTATGGCTCGTAGGCGTGCCGAAAAAATTAAGAGTTACAAGGAACAAAAATTAATGGAGTCTCAGTTACAGCTGTTGAAGGAACAGAACGAACTAGAGTCTGTTGATGACGAAATGAGAAGAAAGTACATAGTCTCTTTACTGAAATACAATATTGGCAAGGCTTTGGAAGAATTAGATTCGCTTCAAGCCGAAATGAGAATTTTACACTATAAATTGAAACATGAGGATAAAGACAACCCTGAAAATGCAAAATCTCAAAAGATCAAACCTAAACCGTTAATGCCTATTATTATCACAAAAAATGAGTTACAAAAACAAGTATTTGGTGCTGGCTATCCAAGCTTGCCAACAATGACAGTTGAAGAATTCTGTCAAAAACGTATCAATGATGGAATGTAAGTATAAAAAAGATTTTTGAAATTTAAAAATTCTTATTATATTAATTTTTCTTATTTAGAGGCATTTACCTACTGCAGATAATACCAAAGTGTTTACAACAACTGTCTGAAGCTCCAGAACCAGAACAAGAAGATTAACGGAAGACAAAATTAATGAGGAAGAAGAGAGAAAACGAAAGACAAAGACTAAATGCTCGCGACGAGTACAAAGATGACCATCGCCGAGGATGGGGTAATAGGCATAATAGAAGTTAAAAGACCTGATAATTTAAAAGTAGGTTTTGTGTAACACTACATTACCATGTTTATTAATTATTACTATAATATTATCATTTAATAAATCCTATAAATTACTAAATTATATACTACTAATTTAACAAGGTTAAAAGTTAATTTATTTTTTAATAATTAATATGTATTAACTTTATAACAATTCTCATGGGTATAATGAGAGAAGATGATTTTAGAAATGTAAATTAGCATTTACTACTTGCTAGTATTTATATATTAGCATCTCTTCTAAATAAGCTACATTTTCTTTGATTCATGAATGTATTGATTTTGCAATGATGTGTCTTTTTTGTGTGTATGTGTGTGTGTGTACACGATAAGTAGTCGAAATAATATTTCAATTTTCAACTTCAGTATCTTTTTCCATAGTTTTCAAAACCGCCTCGAAAAAAAAAACAAAAATTAAGGATAACAAGAACTTGTATGGAAAATCAGTTTTCTACAAAATCAGTTTTGGTTTTTCATGTAACTATTATAAAAAATTATCATAGATACATGAAATTTTCACTGAATGCTTATATTAGCATTTAATACAGCATACAAAATTTATCAAACTTAAAATTTAAAAATAATTTTGTAGTCAGAAATTTATAAAATGTTCAACTTTTATAGCTAAGGATTGAAAATTTAAAACTAGGTTCCACGTAAATAGATAGCCCACCTTTTTTATTTTTAAATCATGATTTATCTATAGGCTTTTCTATGTGATTTTAATTTATTCTTAAGTTCTACATTTTTTCATATCATTGGGAATATGAGGTATAATAATAGTACTTAATACAATATGATAAGAAAATAATTGAAATAAATTAGAAATTATGAACGAAAATAATTATTATTACACGTCCATTGCATATAAAAATGAAATGTTTTGCCCTTCGATGGTGGTGGAAGCGGAATTTGGACAGCTCGTTTTTTATCATTGTGAGAATGGTGAGTCTGCGCTCCAGTATATATTATCTATCTCAGTGCCAGTCATATTATTTTCATCCATTGTAGTTTCATTATCACTAGTCAAACGGTCCCCGGACTTGCAATACAGCCGGAACATCTAGGAGGTAACCTGATGGCCACGCAGGCACAGAGTAAACAGGAAGAGACTGTAGCCTCTTACCTCAAACAAAAACATGTACAACAACAACAATAACAACAAGCATATCGGGATTTTGAGGATAATAAGCTTAGTTAGTGGCGTTGTATATTATACTATTAAGTATTAATATTTCTGTACATCTGTCATCAGTGGTAGGGTTACGTTATATACACCTCTTTTAGGGGAGATTTTAAATGTTTCACTATTTAAGGAGCAGTGTGAGGTACTCATTACTCTGTACTATACATATTTTGCTGAGTTGTCGCGGCTGTTTGAATGGTTTTTTCCTAGAGATAATGTCTCGTTCTAGGATGTCATGGATATCTAATTGTGCTATTCAAATATGCTTGGTTAGGCATGTGCTAAGGAAATCTGTTATTAAAGCTTAAGAGGTAAATTTAAATTGCATTGTGACATTGAGTTAAGAGGAGCACCATGACTGCGCACGAATCCCGTTTTATATAATAGCACTGTTGCACGCAGTATTATTTTGATACCGCAACTTTGCAGAATATATTCTTTTTTAAAAATATTTATAATTTTAATATTTTGTATAACCCTTTACTGAACAGTGATCCCTGTCAATTTGTTGAGTCACAATGATTAGATATAGTTTTGCACTATCATTGGTTTAATTTCAACATGATTTTACATTTTTACATCAATATACCGATATTTTAATGGGTATTTACTATACTCTTAAATTAGAAGGATAAGCCAATTATATTGTAAGAAGTAAGAACCAATATGACTTCAGGTTTATTGATAATCAAAAATTTTACTCAGGGATAATGTAACATTCTAACGGTGAAAGAATTTTTAAAACCGGTCCATTAGTTTTTGAGTTTATTCGTTTATTCTACTTGCACCTGATTTGCCAAAATAACCAATGGCAACCACTAATAAATAAATACTTATTAGTTATTTCTACTAATTATTTCTCCTATAACCAATAGAAACTATTTTACAAACAAACATTTCATCGTACATTTCAAAATCCCTGTTTGAGCGCGTCCTCATGATTTAATTAGCCATTTTTAAATTAGCCTATGTTACTCAGGAATAATGTGGCTTTCTATTGGTAAAATAATTTTCAAAATCTGTTCAGTAAAACCAGAGATTACTCCCTACAACTTCACAAACTTTACCTCTTTATAATAATAAGTATAGATAATGATTGGAAACTGATGAAATCACAATATACAATTTTATCCGTTTTCAAATACTCGTATCATATAGTCCAACCAAAAATGAAAATTTTTCATTAATTTAAAAATTTATAAAATTTTTCAATTTATTTTTATATGCATTTAAAGCAAGGCTTGAAACCGTAAATATTTTTTCCTATTTTGATTTCGGTTTTGGTATCAATTTCGGTTTTTAACGTTTTTAACCGGTATTCAAAATCGGTATTAAATATCGGTTTCAAGCCGTGATTTAAAGTTTATCCCCAACAACAAAAAAAGTTACTTCATTTTATACAATGTTTAATGTTTATAGAACAAATTTTAGATAATGATTAATACATACTATTAAAAACAAAAAGATGGAAAATGAAACAAATTAAAAATATGGTTAATCAGGCATGTTTGTTGATTGAATATTATTTTTTGTCAATACCTTATATTATATTATACAGGGTGTATCTTATGTCATTGTACGCGGGGTTTTTTGACGATTACGGAACGATGATATGGAATTTCGTTAAAACGAAAAAATACGTGTTTCTTTATTTTTAACAAGCAATTGTTTTATAACAATTTCAAAATTTTTAAACACGCAGGTGTACCAATAGCAAAATCAACTTTTTTTTTTCAAATGGTAACCACTATATTTTTCAATGGATTCTGGTAAAGCTTTTTTTTCTGAACATTTTGGTAGTCGAATCGTCAATTTTGGTTCGCTAGTTTATTAACTATGGTCCTCCAAAGATTAGTAAAATATGCATTAATACTTTTAATTAAAATAATGGGTATAGGTTTAATTTACAAGCCCTAAACCATTTTTTCTTATAACTACCATTTGATACTCTACAATAGTTGAATCGGTAATCTAATGACACCCTCAAAAAAAAAAAAAAAATAACAAACATAATTGTTTGTAAACATACTTCATTATTTTTATTTTAACATACGATCATATAAAATCAATATTATTATTTTAATATCCAAAACTAAAAAGGATGGAAAGGGATGAATTACTACTCCTAAGTTCATACTTTGGATGCGATACCATTATAGGGAATCTATGGTTAAAATATCAAGTTTATACTTTATACCACTACGAAAAGAGCACCACAAAACATTGCACTTTTTTCGTTGCACATATTAATGTCAACAATCGAATACCATTTACCAATTTACCATTATTACCTTAGCCACCTCCCTAATTAAGAATTCAAATTTATGATATTGTAAGAAAAGTAACTGTGATGAAAAAAATGTAAAGTAATTAATTACGATTATAATAATAATTTAAAATAATAATATTGATTTTTATGATCGTATGTTAAAATAAAAATAATGAAGTATGTTTACAAACAATTATGTTTGTTATTTTTTTTTTTTTTTGAGGGTGTCATTAGATTACCGATTCAACTATTGTAGAGTATCAAATGGTAGTTATAAGAAAAAATGGTTTAGGGCTTGTAAATTAAACCTATACCCATTATTTTAATTAAAAGTATTAATGCATATTTTACTAATCTTTGGAGGACCATAGTTAATAAACTAGCGAACCAAAATTGACGATTCGACTACCAAAATGTTCAGAAAAAAAAGCTTTACCAGAATCCATTGAAAAATATAGTGGTTACCATTTGAAAAAAAAAAGTTGATTTTGCTATTGGTACACCTGCGTGTTTAAAAATTTTGAAATTGTTATAAAACAATTGCTTGTTAAAAATAAAGAAACACGTATTTTTTCGTTTTAACGAAATTCCATATCATCGTTCCGTAATCGTCAAAAAACCCCGCGTACAATGACATAAGATACACCCTGTATATAAAAACTAATGTATATGTGTAGATTAGACCTCTGGGAAGAAGACAAACGTATATACAGGCTATTACATATAATATTTACACTGGCTATATATAGGAGGTCTGTGGAGGTATATTTGCACCAGCTACCGATCTGCGTATGTTTATTGTGACCGGAAGAACCAATAGAAAGGGAAAATCGTAAATTTCCGCCGAAATTATTACCGCTATATTATAATATGTGCACACGTTATTATTATGTTCCGTCGTCGTACAGACATTTCAACAGATTACGCGATTTCCGCGGCGCACAAGAACTATATAACTAAATGCAGTGGGACGATAGGCCCACCGGGAATTCGTAATTTTCCCGGTAGGCCCTATCTTGTGTTGATGTATGGAGGCCCTAGGACCATTTATCAAGTACTGAACCTTGTGTGATGAAGATTGAAAATAATTTTAATAAAGATGCAAATTGACTAATTTAATATTTTTAACTACTCTTCAAGAAAAATACCATAATCATTTAGCTATAACTTATAAGCAATATTTATTTTTGTTCCAAGTATCATTGGGAATATTGAGATTTATTTTTAGTTTAGAGTTATAGAAAACCGTATTTAATATCGGTAAATTATAGCTGTACCATATAGATATAATGTACTGCAGAGGCGGTGGTTATACTTTTTTTCAAAATGTGTGGTTTTTAACGCTGATTTTGAAACTGTTTTTTTGCGGAAACCATTATGAAACGCATGTGGCATGTGCACAAC